GTGGGACATTAACTTGCCAACAAATCAATTCTATTTTTTTGCTTAACTAATGACATGGAAAAAAAAAGTATAGTTAGCCATCTTTTTTATGAGTTAGCATTTTCATTTAATTTAGAAATAATAATTTCTTTTTTTTTTTCATCCACGTTAGATTTCTTCTTCCTCTTTTATTTTCTCTCTCCTTTACCTTTCCTTTTCACTTAACCTCTGCAAACCCGATCCTAGATTCTCTCTCAAACTTCATCTTCTTTTTATTCTCTCTCTTTCTTCTCCTTCTTCTTCCTTTCTCCTTCTTCTTCCTTTCTCAAACCCAGATCTGGGTTTCATCACATAAATTAACAATCTGATGAAATTGATGACAATTAAAAAAACAATACAAATCATTCCATTATATTAAATATAAGCGACAAAGCCATCCAAACTCATCTATGGTAAAGTAATGCACCAAAACTCAGAAGCAAAATTCCAGGGTTTTACTTTCCCTCAAATTCACAATCAGTGAATAGTAATCCTGATTCCAAACACTAAAAAGCAATCACGAGAAGGAAAATGATGTGTGCACACCCGGATTCAACACTCGGGTGTGCACACTCCACATAACCAAAGATAACCAAAAGATTTTAAAAGTGTAATTACAAATTTAACCTTAACTCTTTCTCTCTCGATTCTTCCCCTTTCTGCAAATCTCCACCTTGTTTCCATTCTCCAATCTGTTTCTTGGAAGAAATTTCTTCATCCACAAGGATCTTTCCTTCAAAAATGGAATAAAATGTTTCTCCTAGCCTGTATAATCGCTTTGGCATTGGACCCTCTTTTCTTCTACATCATAGTGGTTGTGAATAACGAAACCCAAAAATGCCTCACCATGGATAAAACACTTGAAATCCTTTTTTTTTTTTTTTTTTTGTTTTGCTGGAGAACCCATTCTTATTCTCCTGGAGAACCCGTCTTCCATTTTTCCCTTTTTTTTTTTGTTTCACTAGAGAACCCTGAGTTCTCCAAGAACCCAAATCTGGGTTCTTCGAGAACCTAGACTTGGGTTCTTCTCGGAGAACCAGATCTTGGTTCTCCGAGAAAAACCCAGGTCTAGGTTCTCTCGAGAGAACCCAGGAGAGAAAAGAAAAAAAAAAAGAAAAAGAAAAAAGGAAGAAGGTGAGAACTTGGGAAAGGGAGAGGTTGGGTAGTTTGGGTTCTCCCCACCTTTGGGTTCTTGGAGAACTAGATCGGGTTCTGCTCAGGAGAAAAAATGGAAAAAAAAAAGAGGAAGAAAGTGGAAAGGGTAAATTTGTAATTACACTTTTAAAATCTTTTGGTTATCTTTGGTTATGTGGAGTGTGCACACCCGGGTGTTGAATCCGGGTGTGCACCAATCATGGTTCTCACAAGAAACACATAAAATATCTTCGTAACTTCAATAATTATCTCACATCTCCAAATCCAGATAAGAAATCAAAAACGAAACATTGTACTCAATGTACCAAACCCAGTAAACTCATTGCAATATTTCCCATAAACAGGCTCTAACTCAACTAAAATTTGTTCAAAGAGATCCAAAAGTCAATCAAAAACACCAAATACAAATTAAAGCTAAAACATACCTTATTCTTCGCTAGTTATCAGGCTCGAACATTGAAGTCAGGAGAGATGGAGAGAGTAAGCAACATGAGTTGAAAAGTCGTCTGGAAGGTCAAAGATTGAATGGTATCGTCTCTCCTGAGAGGAGGCAGCTGCGGAGGTGGTGGCAACGAGGGGCGCCTCGGTCTCCATTTTCAACGACTTTCACTACTTGTTGGATTTGATGACACAATTCACAACTGCAGACCTATCATCTTCTCGAGCCCATCTGGGTTTGAGAGAAGAAGAAGAAGGCCGATGGCAATAGTAGCATCGTTCACTCCAGTGCATAAGTGTTGTGCTCACTGTCGTCGATGGTGACAATCATCACATGCTTCTCGGCTGTTTGAGAAAAACCTAGATTCGGGTTTGAGAGAAGAAGAAGAAGGCCGACGACAATAGTAGCATCGTCCACTCCAGCGCATAGGCGTTGTGCTCACTGTCGTTGACGGCAATGATCATCACATGCTTCTCGGTCATTTAAGAAAACCCAAAGCTAGGGTTTGCAGAGGTAAGAGAAAAGGAAAGGTAAAGGAGAGAGAAAATAAAAGAGGAAGAAGAAATCTGACGTGCGTGAAAAAAAAAATTATTATTTTTAAATTAAATAAAAATGCCAACTCATAAAAAAGAATGGCCAACTATACTTTTTTTTTCCATGTCATTAGTTAAGCAAAAAAAGAATTGATTTGTTGGCAAGTTAACATGCAACCTGTCATTTACTTGACGGAAGGACCATTTTGGTACTAAAAATGAAAGTTTAAGGATAAATTTGGTACTTTTTAAAGTTGAGAGACAATTTTGGTGCCAAAGTGGAAAGTTGAGGGACCAAAATGGTACTTTAACCTTAAAAGGGACAGCTAAGAAGGTGATAATTTGATGCGTAAAAAAAATGTCATGGTGACAAATTTTTCTTAACTGGATTTAAACGTTATTAAGATTGAAAAAATCTAGTCATTTTGTGGCATTTTAACGCGCCACTTGTCCATTTGATTGATGGAAGGATCGTTTTGGTACTGAAAATGAAAATTTAGGGATAATTTTAGTACTTGTTAAAGTTGAGAGACAATTTTAATGCTAAGGTGAAAAGTTGAGGGACCAAAATAGTATTTAAACCTTCCAAATATGTACAACAATGATTTGTATATTTTAATTTAATATATTATATAACAAATTTATTAAAAATTATTATTTTTTAATTTAAAATTAAAAATATAATTGTACATATAATAGATAAAAATTTATTAAATTAGTTATATTTATATTATATTTTAATAATTAAACTAAATAAATATTTAAAATATATTAAATTAAAAAATATATAAATTATTTTTCATATAACTATCAAGTTATAATGGTAGTGGAGTCAGCTTTTTTTTTAGTGTTATAAAACAAGAAAATTTATACTTTCTTATTTTAAGAAGATTTGATAATCAAACTCTGCAATTGACTTATGAGCATAGGTAGAATTTTGCTAGAATTATGACTTGTAGAAATGGGAATAAGACTTGCATCTAATACGAAAGTGAAATCATATGCCCTATGTATAAAAAATTACCTAAGTTTTATGTTATTAATTGTATTTAAATTTTAGTTTCAAATACAATTATATGATTACAAATATTAATGTATATTAACTAATAAAACTAAAATAAGCAATTAACCTACTAAATCTTAGTCATTTGTATGGTATACTTAGCTGAGGGATAAAGAAACCCACATGCTCCAAATCTTCAATAGTTAATTAAAATTATGATTGCTATGTTAAATAATTAAAAATATCTTAAAAAATAAGTTATATTATTTGATAGTAAGCAGTGATTCTTAAAAGACTAGGCTGTGACTCTACTGGTGGTCTACATGTGGCTCCGCCACCGTGTCTATTTTGATTTACCAAAAACAAGGTTTAGGTTATTATCACTGCCTATATAGTTAAGATCATTAATTTGTTTATGATTTTATTAATTTAAAATTTTTTAAATAATTAATATAATATTTAAAAATATTTATTTATAAATTAATTATATTTTATTAAATAATAAATATTAATTATTTTATTAATTATTAATTATTTTTAATAATTAAATTAAAATAAAAATTTAATAATTATTAACTACTTCAACAAATTAAATGATGTTAGTCCAAAAGCAAATGATGAAAGTAACCGGTGTACTTTATGTAAGTTTATTTTTGCGTGCATATAAGTTTAACTTAATTTAGTTAACAAGAGAAATTAACTAATAAAAAAATTTAAATAAAAACTTCTTTTTATAGTGTTAATCTTATAATTTATTATAAGGTGAACAGTAAAATAAGATATTTAATAAAGAAAAAAGTGATTTTATCTTTTATAAAAATTATTTTAAAATTTTGTAAAATCCAAGGGTTTATATATGTTCCATCAAATTCGACTCTTACATCTAGTTCAAACTTCAAGAAAGAAAAATCCACTCCGCTTTTACATCAAGAATGGAAGAAATTAATCCGCTACGGTTGCGAACATGGAAAAGTTTAGGGATGAAAGATAAAATGTGAGCACGAAATTTTGTAATCGGGCATTGAAATGAGGCTCGGACTTATTGGTTTGGTGGTAATGATTTTATTTAGATTATTATAAAATATATATTTAATAAATTTATATATCTCATATAAAAAAACATATTAATCTCTATCTTTAAAAAAAATTAAAATTTTAAATTAAAATTACATTATTTTATTTAATCAAAATTTAAAAAATTATTTTATCAAATATTAATATTTATATTTAATAATTAATTAAAATTTTAAATTTTAAATTCAAATTTTAATATTTATATTTAAATTTAAATTTAAATTTTTTAAAATCAAAATTAATATATAGTAACATCGAAATTTAAAAAATAAATTTTTGTTAAAATTTTTATTTAATAATTTAAAATAAAAAAATAATGATTAAGATGTAAATTGGTAACATATTAAAAAAATTAAATTAAAAGCCTATTTAATAAAATAATTAAAATCTAACAAATAACTACACCGAATAACAGACGACTGTTAACAAAAAGCAAATGACGAGTAGCGGTAGTGGCATTATGGTATGAAACAGGTGAGGCGCGTTAGGATGATGACGACAGGAAGAAAAGCTGGTATAACTGTAAGTTTATAACAGGTTCAGGCGAAAGTTGTGGGAAACTTGACAGGATATTTATGAGAGGGTAATGATGGGGAGAATAAAAATTTAGAATAAAAATAAAAATTAATAATATAAATTATATTATATTATTAAAATAATTAATATAAAATATTACATTTTTTTAAAATAAAAATAATTAATTGTTAAATAATATAAATTTTATATTTTAATATTTTAAAAAACATAATTTATATTACATTATTAAATTTAAATTTAAATTTAAATTTTAAATTTATTTATCATTATTTTTTAGGTTTAAAGCCAACTGTCGTCCCTCTACTTTAATATTTTATTCGTTCTTGTCCCTCTACTAAGGTCATGTTCGTTGTCGTCCCTCTACTCTCCAAAGAGCCAAAACGTCGTCCCTCTACTTGGCTTTTTTTGTTTGTTGTCATCCCTCCCCTAACACCATCCATGTTGCCCTCACTGCTGACCGTTAAGTCCCAAACGGTCAGCAGTTAAACCCATCTCTTTTTTTTTTTTCTCCACATATGCTGCCTCACTCAGCCAGCAGAGCAGCCATGCTGGTCAGGATCAACACCCTCCTCCAGGGATACTCTGGCATTCGATTTGAAATTTTAGAGGCAATCACAAAGTTCCTCAACCAGAACATCACTCCATGCTAGCAACATCATTATATAATCTAGAATCATTACAATCATAGGAATAATCTTGGTGAATTAGAGGGACCCAAAAAACTTTATGCAAATAAAACAAAATACTACCTTTATTTACCTCTTCCTCCACATTCCATTTAATTCTAAACACCAGCAAAATTGTGCCACTCTTCCTTCCATATGAAAATCAAGCAAAAACACACAGAAAACTTGTTGCTCACCCCAAGTTATCAGTAGTTTAAATACAAAACATGGATTCCAAATGCTTCAAGATATCAACAGATGTAGGCTAGTCAGATTGATGTATTTATTACCTGTTTTGATTGGAGTGCTAAGTGATGCCACACTTGGAGATTCAAGCGATGAAACCCTAGGATGCACCATCGATACCTTTTACCCTCTTCATCCTGGCTTTTCTGTGTTTTTGGTTACCTTCTGAATTGTGAGAAATTGACAGAATCACCTAACCATGAAGTAACTTTAAACTGAGATATTAGCAGAGTAGTTGGGTTGCTAAGTTTGCGAAGGTGCTCCGGTTGAATTCCGGCCCAACTCTGCACTTTCCAACAACTTAAAAAATTTCAAGAAAAATTCTAGAAAATTTTCTAAAAATAGGAAAATAGATCCTAAGCCTAAACCAAGCCCAACGGAACCCTTTTACGCGATAATTCCACAATTTCATGTCCAAATCAAGAAATTCCCAATGCAAAGTAAACATCGAATGAAACTCAGAATAAGTTCACAACAAATTCAAGAGTAAACTCAGATTCCCATTTAATATCAAGATATAATATACATAAAATAAATCAAAACAAAATGATACCTATGTCTGCAGTAACCTTCGGATTCCGAAAACAAAGCTCGGACTTTCTATTGCTCTTGATTCCTCCAACCCGAACTCACAAAGCAGTTAAACCCATCTTTTTTTTTTTTTCCAAATATGCTGCCTCACTCAGCCAGCAGAGCAGCCATGCTGGTCAGGATCAACACCCTCCTCCAGGGATACTCTGGCATTCGATTGAAGTGATTCGATTTGCAACGAAATCAATTGAAAGGGAAATTAATTCCGTCAACGACAACCCTCTGATCGATGTCTCCAGAAACAAGGCACTGCACGGCGGTAACTTCCAGGGGACCCCGATTGGAGTCTCCATGGACAATTCCCGTCTGGAAATTGCATCCATAGGAAAATTGATGTTTGCCCAATTCTCGGAGCTCGTGAATGATTTTTACAACAACGGGCTCCCGTTGACTCTGTCCAGTGGCCAGAATCCGAGCTTGGATTATGGTTTTAAGGGTGCTGAAATTGCTATGGCGTCTTACTGTTCTGAGCTCCAGTTTTTGGCTAATCCAGTCACCAACCACGTCCAGAGCGTCAAACAGCACAACCAAGATGTGAATTCCTTGGGGCTAATCTCCGCCAAAAAAACAGCGGAGGCTGTCGATATCTTGAAGCTGATGTCCTCCACCTTCCTGGTAGCACTCTGCCAAGCCATTGATTTGAGGCATTTGGAAGCGAATCTGAGGAACACTGTGAAGAACACCGTAAGCCAGGTAGCCAAGAAAGTCCTGACCACCGGTGTCAATGGCGAACTCCACCCTTCAAGATTTTGCGAGAAGGATTTACTCAAAGTGGTGGAAAAAAAAAAAAAGAGATGGGTTTAACTGCTGACCGTTTGGGACTTAACGGTCAGCAGTGTGGGCAACATGGACGGTGTTAGGGGAGGGACAACAATGAACAAAAAAAGCCAAGTAGAGGGACGACGTTTTGGCTCTTTGGAGAGTAGAGGGACGACAACGAACATGACCTTAGTAGAGGGACAAGAACGAATAAAATATTAAAGTAGAGGGACGACAGTTGGCTTTAAACCTTATTTTTTACGAGAAAGTTAGGTTTGCCCAAATTATGCGGATACAATGGGAACTTGCTTTCCCATAACTTAGTGCATTTGTGCTATATATGCCTTTAAGGTAGGTTAGGTTGCCCAAATTATGCGGATACGATGGGAACTTGCTCTCCCTTATCTTAGTGCAGTTGTGCTATATATGCCTTTAAAGAAGGTTAGGTTGCCCAAATTATGCGGATACGATGGGAACTTGCTTTCCCATATGTTAGTGTATTTGTGCTATATGTGCCTTGAATATATTCTTCCTTTTTTACCCCCAAAAAAAAATTAGGTTGCCCAATAAAATTAGAGCAGTGCTAGGACAATCACGACCGCATCTGCCAACTAACACTTACCCATCCATTTGGCCACGTTACCTTACTTCTAATGTGACGGAAGAGTAACAGGTTGTACTTGGGAACTGCAAATCTGAAGTCTCCCCATCTTTCCTTTTTTTTTTGGGTTAAATTCTTTTCTTTAAAAGTTAAATTAAAAAAAAAAAAAAAAAAAAAAAAACAAAAAAAAACAAAAACAAAAGTACCTTCGTCTTCCTCCGGTCACCGGCCTCATCCTTCCCCATCCCCTCTAACCAACCGTGGCCATGGGCGCCTAATCTGGGGCTCCAATGTTACAAAATTTTAAAAGATTCAAAATTTTAAACTAATTAAAGCAATAATTTCAAACTTAGTTCTTTATTTTTAGTGCTTAACTATTCAAAAGAGGAAAAATAAAGACAATTTATTGATAAATTACTCATTCAATAGTTAAAACATTTATAAATTACTTCGTCGTCGAGTAATCTGTTATTGTCGATTGAAGAAAATGAGGCTATTAAAAAGAACATAAAAAAAATTCAAATTTAAAAAATACGACGAATCTATCAACACCACGCAAAGATCCATTTCTCTGCAACCGATGGGCGAGTGCAAGGGGCGATGGTCCCTAGCAGTGCTCATAAAATTAACAAAAAAAAAATACAACACATACTTAGTACTGTACCGTGAATACGTTCCCATATCAAAAATTACTTCTCCTTGTGAGATGTCGATTTTGGATTGGACCATATCATCACTTCCTTTCAATGCATCCGTATGTAACGTCCTTTGAATACGTACCCATATCGAATTCTACTTCTTGTTCGGAAAAGAAAAAGAAATATTTGAAAAAAAGTTTATTATTTTCTTAAACAATATTGTATGTACAATGATCTACATATAAAAGTTTACAAAAAAAATATTCTAAGGTTAAAGTATATAAAAAGAATATTTTAAAATATAAAATATTTACAATAAGTGTGAATATAATCTAAATTATTGTGTTCATATCTTAATAAATCCTTTTAAATTTAAGGTGGTTGTGATGAAACCAACTTGAGTTTAAAAAGAAAAGTACAAAAGTGTCAAGGAAAATGAGTCTTGGTGAAAAGGTCTGTTAGTTGATAAATGGAACCAATAAAAACCAAATGAACAGTTCCTTATGCAACATGATGGCAAGATTAATGTGTTTAGTGCATTCATGGAAGACATCATTATGAGTAATCTACATAGCATTCTAACTGTCACAATAAAGATTAGTAGTAGGTAGTTGAGGAACACCAATATTTTCTAGTAGCTAACGTATATTAAGTAACTTTGATGTGGTGTCTCCAAGTGCTCAATATTTGGCCTTTGTGTTAGAATGTGATAGAATTGTCTACTTCTTGCTACACCAACAAATTAAGGAATCACCAAGAAAAAGACAATATCTAGTGGTGGATTTATGATCATTAGAGTCTCCATCCCAATCAATGTTAGAGTGAGCACAAAGTTCAAGAGATGAATGAGTAGAAAAGTGAAGTCCATAAAAAATGGTACCTTTAATATAGCAAATAATGTGACATACTGCTGCATAGTGGGTGGAGCGAGGCATAGCCATAAACTGGCTAACAACATGAACTACATAAGCTATGTGTCTCATCAAACAACATGAACTACATAAGCTATGTTTGGTCATGGTGTAGTGAGATTAATTAAACTTCCAACCAACTGTCTATAACGAGTAGGATCAACTAATGGAGAACCATCCATTGATGTAAGTCAAACATTTGGCTCAAGAGGAGTAGATGCAGTCTTACTTTTAGTGAGTCTAGCTTTAGATATAAGATTAGAAGCATATTTTGTTTGGGAGAAAAGATAACCATCATCAAAAGAGGTAACCTCAAGTCCTAAGAAATAGCTCAAAACACTAAGATCTCTCATATCAAACTTATGACTGAGAAATTGCTTAAGATCATGAATACTTGAAAGATCATCCCCAGTAATGATCATATCATCAACATAAAGAAGTAGTAGAACCATACCATGATTAGTCTTGCATATGAATAGCGCAGTATCATGAGGACTAGAAGTAAAACAAACTTCACTAATGGTGGTACTAAACTTGGCAAACTAGGCTCGAGGTACTTCAAACCATACAGAGCTCGCTTCAATTGACAAACTTTGTTTAGAGGATGCTCAAGTTCAAAAGGTGGTTTCATGTAAACTTCCTTTGCAAGATTGCCATTTAGAAAGGCATTTTTCACATCCATCTGAAACAGTTTCCATCCTTTTGCAGCAACAACACCAATCAAACTATGAATTAAAGTAGGATGAGTAATAGGTGCAAAGGTTTTTGATGAGTTAAATTTATATACATATTAATGTGAAACTATTGTCTTAATATTATTGATATTTTGATGAATTTTATGAGATTTTATTTGATTTTATATAATTTTCATTCTTCGTGTAGGAAAGGACTTAATTGGAACAAATCATAATTTTTAGGAACAAATTGTAAAGATTAAAAAGTTGAGGATTAAGTTGTGCAGAATCCAGAAGTCAGGGACCAGAATTGCCATTTTACCATTAACAAAAATTATTTAGAAGGCCAAAAATCCGACGTGGTGATGTGCGCTAAACAAAAGGTGTCGGTACCTTGTTGAAGGTGTTGACCACTTGTGCAATTTTCACAAAATCCGTGTTTAATTTATTATTTTGAGTGTGGGTCTCACTTCTATTCTAATTAGAATTTATAAAATCCTATAAATACTCATCTAAATTTAGAATTGAGAGGGTTATGGAGGCTAGTAGTTGCCTTCTTTTGGGTATTCTTGAATATCGAGATAGAGAATTCATCAACAATAGAAAATTAATGAGTTCAAATTCTTCAAATTGGGTTTTGTTTTTCCTTAGATTCTTTTTATTTATTGTTTGATATTCAAATGTTCATGATTATAATTTTATGTTTTATTATTTTTATTATGAACTAATTTATTCTACTAGGGTTACAATGTAACCTAATTAATTCAATATAGATTTGGTGATTTTATGCTTTCAATTAAAGTTATTCTTATAATGAGTTTATATTATTGAACTTAATGCATTGAAAACCTGATAATCTTTCAATTAATTTAGTGATTTATGCATGAACTTGAAAAAGAATTGCATAAATTAGATCAATAATAATATAAATTGTGTTAGACTATGAGACAGAAAGGTAATTAGTGTCACGTGTGGTCGTGTAGGAAAATAATAGAGTTAGGAGCTCCCTTTTCTTAGCTAGAGGTTTCCATAGAATTTAATTCTTATTAATTTGTTTAAAATTACATAGAGATATGATTAATCTAACAAACAAGTGAAGGATTAATTTGATTTGAAAAAGCTAGTTAATTAATTTTGGAGAATCTGCCATCACATGCAATAATACTCAACAAATTAATTTTGGAAGCATATTAATCTTATATTGATTGATTTTGGTGAAGTCAATGCTTTAGTGCCTCATATCTTTGTTAGGTTTATTTTAATTGTTATTTTCTTTTTATTATTTTTAATTAAAGTCTCTTCCTTTTTTATTATTCAAATAAATTTAGATTAATTATTTTTAGTACTTAATTAATCACAATCCTCATGGGTTCAACATTTTTCTTATTATTATATTATTTGGAGTGACTAATACACTTGTTAGGGTGATTTTAGTGCAACAATTTCCTCCTAATCAATACCATATTTTTGAGTAAATCCTTTAGCAAGCAAATGAACCTTGTAACACTCCATGGAACTATCAAATCAAGTTTTGATCGTATACACCCACCTACTAGAGGCTTTCTAGTAGAAAGATCAACTAAATCTCATGTATGAGTTTTTTCAAGAGCTTCTAATTTATCTTGCATAACTTAGTGCCAAAGAGGTTTAGAAGAGGCCTTTTAATATGATTGAGGCTAATGTAAGGAGGCAATAGCTGAAAAATAATGATAATCACAAAGATAACTAAGAAGATTTCTTACTCAAGTAGGATGACTTGAAGGTGCATTACGAAATTCATTTTCAAGCTTAATATTAATAGGGTTAGATCCAACAGGTGATAGGGTTAGATCCAACAGGTGATACAAAAGAGGTAAGGGAAAAAGACTTAGCATTATCTAATGTATTACCAATAAGCAGAGCATCTTCTATCGAACCAAGTGGAGCATGTGGAAGGCATCATTGAGCTCGTCAAATGTATTTGCATCAAAGTCACTAGGAAATATCTCAATAAAAGAGTTAATAAAAGTGGAGGTTGATCAAAAGATGACACCTGGAAGTTTGATAATGAGAAAAATATAGTGTGTTCCCAAAATACAACATGACATGAGACTTGAAGTTTTTGTGACACAAGATCCCAACAATGATATCTTTTATGTGTAATCCCATAACCCAAAAAACAACATAATCGAGCTTTAGGCTCTAGCTTGTTATGTTCATGAGGTGGAAGAAGAACAAAACAAGCACAACCAAAAACCTTAAGAAGATCATAGGTAGGAGGAATACCATGCAACATTCATATGGAGACTTATTATTGATGATTGATGATGGAATTCGATTAATGAGATAAATAGCTGTAAGAGTAGCTTCAGCCCAAAATCGCTCTAGACAAGAAAACGAAATGAGCAGAGCACAAACAGAATAAAAAATGTGTTTGCATTTGCATTCAGCTTGTTCATTCTATTCAAAAGTGTAAGGACAAGATTGTTGTATCAATGTACTCTGTTCTTTGAGAAACAATTAAAGTCTAGTACTAAAATATTTCATGGCATTGTTAGTTCTTAAAACTTTGATAATTTTAGAGAATTAGGTTTTGACTATGGTAGCAAAATCAATATAAAGTTGTGGTAACTCAAAGCGATTTTTCATAAGATATATCAAAGTAAAACAAGTATGATTATCAATAAATAACACAAAGTACTTGAAACCCCTAATGGTAGGTATTGGAGATGGACCCCAAACATCAAAATGCACAAGATCAAAAGAAGCAGTAGAAAGAGAATGACTTTTAGAAAAAGATAAAGTTGGTTGTTTTGTAGATTGACATGATACATAATGTAAGGATTCATTTGGAACAGATATTAATAAACCACAGGAAATAAGAGGATGAAGTTTACCGACTAAGTTGTGTCCGAGCCATGAGTGCCACAAATGAAAAGGAGAAATGTTAGTAGCAGCACAGGCTTGGAAGATTTGTTGATGTGAAATTTGCAAAGATTATAATTCAACAACACAAAGTAGGGTTTGGATGAATCGATAATTTAGAAATGATGGAGTATGCATTTTATGATTAGAAATATGCAAATAGTTGAGCTAAAACATACGCCCCACTTTGCAACTAGCTTCAAGAAGTTGTCCTATCTGTGGGTCCTGCACACAACAACTATGAGCAAAAAATGTTACTTCAAGACTAAGATCGCATAATTGACCAACAAATAAAAGATTATAACTAAGTTTTGGAACCAATGGAGCATTTGGAAAAGTCAAAGAATTTGTAGAAATATTGCCAACGTAACTAACATTTATAGGGGAACCATCAACAGAATAAATATTAGGAAAGGAATTATTTGGTGACATTGAAGAGAAATGAGTAGTAGTTAAAGACATATGATTACAGCAATCAGAATCAAAATAACAAGGTTTGGTACCTGGAGCAGCAAATAAGGCAATAGGAGCATTAAAAAGATTTAGTATCACCTATTTTAAGGATTCAAGGTTGACATTAAGTTGGTCTATCACTTCTTTGGTAACCATAACAGTAACAAGATGAGTTATAATCCTTTGAAACTTACCATAGAATCAGTAAAACTCATAATATTGAAAAATCTCTAAAATATGAAGGAATAAATGTCAAGATTGAAATAACAACTGAACAAAATACCTCAAAAATGGTCTAGAATTGAGAATAAACAATTCAATCTATAAGAAAAGAAAACCCAATGACAAAGTTTTAGATCTGAAATGGATCTAAAAATCCAACTCAAAAACTAAGCAGTATAATAAAAGAGAAGAACCAAGAGCTTATAGCTCTGATATCATATTAGAAAAAGAAGAAAAAAATATTTGAAGAAAGGTTTGTTATTTTATTGATTAATACCGTATGTGCAATGACTTATATATGGGTGTTTATAAAAAAAATATTATAAGATATAAAGTATATAAAGGAAATATTCTAAAATATAAAATACTTACAATAATTATGAATATGATTTGAATTATTGTGTTCATATCTTAGTATTCTTTTATGGGATGTGAAATTTTGGATTGGACCATATCATCACTTGGTTTCCTTGCATCCGAGGTATGTACCACGTTATGAATGCGTGACAATATCGAAAACGGCCACTTCTCTTCGTGTGGATGTTAGATTTTGGATTGGTCACATCGTTACTCGGTTTAACTACTCTTGCGTCCATTGCCTATTCTCAAATATATATATATATATATATATTTACTCTTGTGGCCCACGTTCTTTTTTACCTTGATCAAAATTTTATTACAATTGAGGATATATTTTTAGA